TATTTTTCTTCCTACTTCTGACTTCTACTCATTACATTTTCACACAAGTATCTGTACTTTCTATTCCATACATTGTTAAAACTAACATTACTAGTTACTGTTGGCTTCGGTTTAATGTTTATAAATATTTATTTCACATCATGTGCTCCATCCAATGCAGATCATTGGCTCCATCCACATCTAGTGAAAACCAGTGTAACTGGATGTGTCATATAACGCAAACACTCATTGGTTAGCTAAAGAAAATCATCAGAAGCAAGCAGGGGTTCATCAAACTGCAAACGTGAATTGTCTATGCCATACTACAATGTTGGATTCAGAAAGATGTAGAAATGTCTGAAAGGTTGGAAACAGGCGAGAGCTTATCGGGAGATGGAGACCAACAAGACCTCCCTCATCCTTGGCCCTATCTCATAGAATTTTTCGAAAGAGTCAAAAAATTAAGCTTTCAATTCATGTAGTGGCATCTGGCTGCCTTTTTTTAAGGTTACTTTATATTTTTAAACTTGAAGTAGTTTTTGGAGCACATAATTTTTTGCTTTTACTTGAGTAAAGAGGTCAAGATACTTCAACTTTTACCAGTGTTTTTAAACTAGAGTATCTATACTTCTACTTAAGTAACACGTGTGTGTACTTTTGACCCCACTGCACACTAAGGTTTATATCAATAATTCTTTTATTCATTTTGGAAAACATTTACACATTTAACATGATTTATTGGCAAAAGAAGAAATAGAAAAGTAGAATCAGATACTTTCATTTCACATGAGAAAGAAAATATTACAACAGATGCCTTCATGGTGGATCCCTGTAAAAAGTGACCAAAACATTCCTGGTTATGATCTTTATTGTCCTTTACAACTGACAAGTTCAATATAACATGTCAATGAGGTTAAATGTTGTTATTTCAAGACAGAAAAATAGGAAAATAACTTGACTTAAGTGAATCCCTGGAAAGTAGGTTCAATGAACTCAAGTTCAATTCAAGTAAATTCCTCTTAACTGTTCCAAGGCTCTTCCTCTTTTATGTCAACATCTTATTCATAGTCTCATAGTCTCCGCTGAAGTCAGCACAATATGTGCTTACAGTAACTTCAACTATAAAATGCTGTTCTCTTTCCTTTGATGGATGACTTTTCTTGAATTGAACACACTTGTCTTGTTATCTCACACAGCTTATAAAAACAGTGTAAAATATAAACCCTTTCAGAAAAAAAACAACAACATAAAGTTCACAAGTGAATATAATGACCTAGGGGATTTTTTTTTTGTTGTTAAATTAATTAACAAGGTTAATGTAACATATGTAAAATGAATACTTTGCATAGTTTCCACCAGGCTGTCAGTGGCCATCAAATTACATTTAGTTCCACAAGTCCATTTAAACAAATAATGATCTTGAACGGCATTATCTCTGATTCTGGTAGAATTATAACCAATAAAAATAACTATAGTTCCCGGAACAAAATGCCTATTTGCAATGACTCCAATCCCACTATGTCCTAGCTTCATTCTCTTAACTCATATATTTCACAATTTGACAAGAGTAATAGCAAAATATTTCCCAATTTGCTTCAATCTGTGTTTTTAGCAAATCTAAATCATGCATTGACTTTCTTTAGCTTTTCGATCTTAAAATGAGACATATCTCTATGCGATCCCATTGCAAAAACATTTTAACTTTAAGTATTGTTTTGTTTACTTTTATAAACACTTATGAGATGAAAACATTTTATTAAGCCAGTTCTCAGCTATCTGATGGATTTTACTAAAGAGACATCTACAAAAACCTTTTTTTTTTTTTTTTTTTTTTGGATAAATTTAAGGTCAGAAGAAGTTATTTTACAAACATGTGGACAATATTGCTAATGCTGCAAGCAGAGGAAGAAACAAATGGGCATTGATGTCAGCTGCAGACCTGAGGGGATAAAGAAAATTGGTTTTAAATACACCCACACACACACACACACACACACACACACACACCCACACACAATCTGTTTTCTATTAAACTGGGAGTGTAATTTGTTTTACAGCAGGCATGGTAGCAGTTTTTTGTCTAATTTGTTTTGAACCCAGAACAATGCAAATAGCTGAAGAATGAGTAAAAATGAGCGTGACAGGACATAACACTGGGTGTGGTAAGATTATGTAGTCCTCTACATTGTCTGTGTTGATCAGTGCATGTAGTGGGTTGCCTCTAATTTTTATTAAAAACATGCCACCAAGAAATGTGTAACACACTTAGAAAAATATTGTTATGTAAACTTATTATCCACACTTTTAGAGGAAAGGATGACATGGAGTAATCAAAGGTTTTTATATTGTTTTCCTCTGTAAACTGTGGAGAGGTCGGGATAGATGGAAGGGGAGGTTGCAGGGGGAAGTGGAAAGAAGTCCTTGTAGGTGCTGCAAGCTGGGAAAAAAGTGACAGTACTCTTTACCATTGCATATCGGTGCTCTTAAAGCAATGCTTTTTAAAAATAACTTTCCTATAGATACACAATTTATATTCTCAGCCTGACGTCTTCAATTTTCTTGCTGCTACAGTCAGCTTGGCTCTGTGCTATATGCTAAAAAAGGTTATCAGGAATGACTTAAAGTGATACTAGTTAGTGTACTCTTTATGAACAATTCAAAAGGTTGGATAACTACTCACTGACTCCCTGAAGTTTGATGAGGACATAGGTTTTTACTTTGTTTTAATGTGGATATTTGTTTAACTTTAAAGAGGTCTTACCTTGAAAACATGATACAGTTGTGGTTGCTTCTCAGAGCAGAATGGGCCAAGACCACTTCAATGAACTCATCACCATCACTGTTCTCCTTTTTAGCTACGGTCTCTACGGTGAAGACTTCAGCTGGAGATAGGAGTATTTTACCAAGATATCTCTGACAAAGCTGGTCCCCCAGGTCGACGTAGAAGCAAGTTTTTATTTTAAGAACAACTTGGTCTACATAATCAATCAATTCCAAGTCTGTTTCAGCAACGATGAAACTTGCAAACCTTACACTTGAGCTTGGTTCTTGTTTTATTTGCTCCTCCTGGACTAAATATACCTCCTTGCATTCCTTTGGCTTCAACAACTTCATGGAATCCATCAGTAGGAAATGAAGGGCCTTGAAATGAAAGTCATTTTCATATGTGGTAACATTTGTCATCATCATCTCCACTGCATTATTCAGCTCCTTAATAAAGTTTGTACCCCTGTAGTAGTAGAAGACGGACAGGGCAGAGGTGTGCTCTTTACTTCCTCCGGGGATCTTTGATGAACAATTTGTTCTTGTTTTCTCTTGCTCCCATTTGTTCCAAGCTTTCTGCAGTTTTTCACTTTTGCCAAGCTCTTGTTTTAAAACGTCAGGATTAAACTTCTTCATGGCTTCTTCACGGCATCCATCATAGAGATCATCAATAACAGCAGAGGATGCATTCAGCAGTTTTGAAGTACTGAGAGTAACCTTTAAATTATAATAATACATTATATTTATAATAAACTTTACATACAAACATAAAAGGGCCACAAAATGGTAATTTAAAAAAAACAACCAACAATCATGCTGATCAAATATTCTTATTAAAAGGAATGGATTTGAATGGTTTCTAAAAAGAAAAAAAAAAAACTTACCTGGCAGTAGAAAATCAACACAATGAGTAAAACCAGATGCTTTTTTCCCTCGGTATACATATTAGATTCGGTTCTACTATCACCCTCAATCTACCTCAGATGTGGAACAAATATGGTTTAAGCTTTTCTGGTCTGCTTGCTCTAGCATACAGCAGTCTATTCCAGCTTTAAATAAGATATATATAACAACTACAGAGAGCAAATTTCATTACAGTGAAAACCAAAAATGGGTAAAGTGCCTAGGTGTGTCTTTTTACTCCTCTAACTGTTTTTTCTAGCTGACTGCTCTTTTAGGAAGTGATGTAGCATGTCTCAATAAATAACTTTTATGAGCAACGTGAGAAAAAGAGCTTCCTCTTTTCTTTTGAAACTGGGCGTTCAAATGATCTTCACCCACTTTGGATTGATTAAACTCAAACATTTCATGCAATGGGGGGAAAAAAATCCAGCAACATGTGCACCCTGCATACAGCTGAGCATTTGATGGACCGCTCAGGATTCAGTAACTCTTTCACACAATTTTGATTTTTAAGCTATTTAAGCTGCTTGCTCCCTATCATCAGTGCCAGATTATTCAAGCCTTTGAGGAGAGTTCTCTAGCAAGCCTGTTGTTCTGATTGCCTGATCCTGACTAGTTCTTGGACCTCTGAGCCTGCTTTTTCCCGTTCTGATCTATTTGCCTCCTGCCTTCCTGCGTCTCCTTGCTTCTGCTCATCAGCCAGCTCAGCAGGCTCTTGGCTTCTGCCCCTGGGACTCTCTGGGAGGCGTTCCCCGCATGCTGTTGGAAATCTTCTGGCTGGATTCCACTCCTAGTTCTGGCCCCAGACTGAATTTTAAATCCAGGTTAGTGACTCATACGCTCATAATCATCCTCCGTCAGATTTATGTGGTTACTAACCTTAGTTTTCCCCTCTAGAGAGATTCCGGCCTTTTCCGCTCTAGCTGTTGAGTCGCAGATTCAATGTTTATTAATAAACGCTTTTGTAAATCATGTGTTTGTCTTCTTGAAATTCTTAGTCCACAGTTCTGATCCTGGACACATCCATTATTTGTTATCTATTACTTATAAATAGCTATGTTAAGAACACAAACCATTCATGGCTGCATTACTCTTGCTGTTCTTTCCAGGATCAGACAAAGCAGCTGGTCCGCAAACCTTAATAATCATTCAGACTTTTATAACAGTGCTTACCTCTGAGCAACTTCAGATTTGCAAGGTCTAAGGGTTAGGGTTTCGATTACTGTTGGACTTAATAAACATTTTTTATGGATTCTAGATGGATTTTAATGTCTGATCCATGTCTTCTACTGTCTTCATTTAAGCAGTGCTATGGTGCTTTTAACAGATCTAAAAAAAGAAAAGCTAATTGGCTGCAAAGGGATCTTGTAAAAATGACAGCAGACATGTCAGCATTTTATCATCAACTTAATCATATTTTATTGCAGTGAAATAAGTAATGAGTCATAAAGTATTACATCAGGTTATAAAGTTTCACTGATTTGTTTGATTTTATAATTTACCACAAAATAAGCAACATTATGGCCTATTTATTTCAGTGTCTTTTTTATTTGTTTTACACACTAGAACCAATGTGCACTCCCTTCCTGTACACTTTTCCTGCTAATTCACTAAAGGCATGCAAAGCATAAAAGGCAGTGTAATATAAAAACTTGCAGAAAAAAACAACACATAAAGTACACATGTGGATACGAGGACCCTGGTTGAAATGTTTGCTAAGTTTCACCCACAAGGTAGATATGTAAAACATGTGAAATGAATACTTTGCTCATTACAAGTGAAAATTGAGTGCATTTTAAATATACAACAAGGGAAACATATGTGAAACTCCTGGGGTTACAAGTAGAGGCTATATGGTGTCCATTGCGTTACAACTGGAAATAGGCTATCTCAAAGCAATCACAGCTGTCATTTATTCAAACACAGATCTCCGGATCAGTAGGCAACTTGGGGTTTCACTGCCTCACCCAAAGACAAATTGGTTGCTGAGGGAGACTGCAATAAAACATACAAACCTGCCAAGCTGCAACTATGTGTGAAAACATTCTGTGTGTGACAGCAAAAAACACAGTTGAAGTATATATTGAAATGTGCAACATATGAAGAACATGCATTTCACACGTGGAATTATTTACAAGTGTTTCATATATGGAAATTATTTCAATGTAGAAATAGAAAAAATAATCTATATATGAAATGCTTTTCATTTTTTTCTGCAGTGGATATCAGGCAGTAATGTGTGGAACTGAGGGGGAAAAATCCACATGTGACAACAATAAACACTGTTGAAAGAGCAAAAAAAGAAACAAACCGGTCATGTGTGTAATACATTAAAAACATGCTTCAGATATGAAAATATCTTCATGTGTAACAGGTGGAAAGACATGCCACAGGTACAAACATTGTTCTGCATGTCTTCCATATGTTACATTTTGAATACATGTTTAAATGCATTTCTTTCAGTTTTCATTACGCTACAGTTATTCTTATTGGTAAGCTTTGCTTTCATCAAATTTGGAACATGTAGCCACTTTAACTTTTCAAGATGACACAGATAGTGACATACCTCCATGTTATCAAATGGGTTCTACACCTTAACTTGAAGTGTTTTTTTTTTTTTTTTTACCACTTTTATAAACACAACAGAGAAAGAACATTGTATGAAAGTCGTTTTCAGTTAATTGATGGCTGTTTCCAAAGTACTTTTTGTTTTTACGAAAACAGAGCTTTAATTTTCTTTTCCAGTGATTTCAGAGTCAGAGATTTCTTTCTCTTAAGGACACATGGAAAGCATTGCTAATGCCACAAGTAGTGGAAGGAACAAATTGTTGGAGAAGTCAGCTGCAGACCTGTAGGGACAAAAGAAAAGTGGGTTTGGAGATCTTAGAACAAACAATGATTTAAACACACAAAAAGGTGTTTTCAAATAAGTTGGAAGTGTATTTTTTTTATACAGCAGACATGGAAAATGTTCCACTGACTCATTTGTTTTAATACCAGAATTTGCACATATTTGAAGAATGACTAAAAATAAGCTCTACAGCAGACTGCACTGGGTGTGGTTAGATCCTATAATCCTATCCGGGCTTTCCTTGCATCTTTCCTATTTTTCACTGGCAGGACAGTAAAATAAGAGCTCTCAGATGACCAATGCATTTAAGCCGTGGGTTAGAGGCATCATCAGAGACCAAGCCCCTAGGAGATGAACAAAAAAATTAGAAATTTGGTACGACAGAAAATACACTTTCATACTATATCTCTGTTTGCTATCTCCACTTTCAAATCATTACTCTCCAATTAAGAGTGTAAGCCAGGTTTTTATTTTTCAAACAGGAAGCAGCTCCTGGTTCTTTAAATACATAGCACTTTATGCTTTTAGCTTGGGACTGGAACTAACTAATAATTACTTCCAACAGTGATAGGAAGTGCTTACTTTTTGATATGTTTATTCGTTTAAAGCTATGTTCTGATCAAATTGTATTGGATTTGCAGTTATTTGTAAGACAAACGTAAAAAGTAATTAAAAAGGTGATTCAATTAAGAATCATAACAGCTTTTATGTTATTCACTGGCGGAACCCTCAACAATTGGATCTCTGAGTTGATCAATGTATTTAGGTGCTGGGTTGCCTTTCTTGAGAGGCATGACTTGATTAAAAGGACAAGTTTAGCTCAAGGAAATACACAGGATGCAAACGAAAATAGGGGGGAGCACAAATTGTCTAACAAAAAGTTACAAGTTGCTTTAGCACAGGTTCGACGATTTAACAGAGATATATATTGTGTTAAAGTTTAAAGAAACTATTAAATTGTTATTACATTAACATAAACACATATGTCATTCATTTAATTCACAAGTGAGATTGTTTTAAGCAAACCTGAGTGTTTCTTGTGACCTAATCCTGACCTGTTCTGCCTCTCACCACTGAGCCTGCCTGTTCCTGTTCTGATCTGTTTGCCTGACCTGTCTTCGGACTCCTGCTTGCTTCTCTGTTCCTTGGGGCTGCGGCATCTGGGACACCCTGGGCGGTGCCTGCCGCATCTTGTCAGCAGGCCACTGTCTGGATCCTACCTCATTCTCTGGGCATGGATTGTACTCTAAACCAGATCAGTAACTAATTTGTTCCTATCATCCTCCGTCAGATTATCGTAATCACTAACCTGTGTTTGTTCTCTCCAGAGTTCCCTGCCCTAGACGCTCTAGCCGCTGCTACTCCCCTCTGCCAGTTTTAAATAAATGCCTTTTGAATTATGCCACCGTCTATCTAGCCTGAATACTGGGTCCTCTGCTCTGAGTCCTGACAGTAATTGTTTTATAGTATTTTGACCCTATTCATCCTCCATACAGATAAGGTATATTATTTCAAATGCAGTACTTTTAAACCAATTCAATAAATGAGATAATGATTCATAAATCTTTCCTAACTTCATTTTAAAACTATTTTAGATAGCTATTTTGTTAATGTAATCACTACTTTTACTCATTAGAGCCTTGGAAGTTAGTGACCCTTTCCTTAGACTTACCCTTCCAATAGTGCTTTATCTTCGTTCTCTCCCCGTGTTCCTCTGTCTTGATCCCTACAAGTCAATATGGAAGTGATTATTTCATGTATATCTCCATCATCAACCATCGATGATAATCTTAGATGAATAATTTCAGTTCTTTTTTGACATTGTGGAAGCATCTGTGTGTGAAGTGAGAAACAGTTAATGTTTCAGAAGGAAGTCCCTCAGATATAGCAAAATGATGCACACTTAGCTCTATAAACAACCAGGGCCTTTCAAAATGCATTTTAGGATATTTAATAGCCTAGGCAGCATTCCCTTAAAGCTGGATCATAACTTTAAGAGAGCCATGAGAGATAAGAATCCTGTTATCTAGGGACTGGAATGAATTAATTGTTAGAAGTGGGTGGTTTGTTTGCTCATTTTAATCCCTCAAAATCTGTTCTCCTAGTTAATATTCCTCAATAATAGGTAAAACATATCTTGTCTAAAATTATAACTACCATCTTTGGTGCAGAATTAGCATAATATTTTTGTTCCAAAAACATTTAAAGAAAGAAATCCAAAAAACCAAGTCCAGTGGATATTTTTTGAATTTTTACGGAATGACTATGACCTGGATGACTGAGAACCTTCATCAGCAAATCCAAAAAACACGCAGCAGAACATAACGGTGAGATTAAATGCAAACACAACACCATATCATATGTTGCTGGAGACAAAACCCCCAGA